TCTGGTTGTTACTAATTTTTTGATCGTGAATTCGATCGCCGAGTTTCTGTATATTCTCCAATAAACAGTTATTTCAGTTATCTGTATCTACTAAGATGTTAAGAATTCCAACCGGCGATTCACTGAAAATATTGACAAAATGCTGAACTGATAACAAGAATATTAACGATTGCAGGCGAACAAAAACAATGGTTCGGCGTGTAAGAATGTGGTGAATAAATCACAAAGCGACTATTGTATATTTCATATCGAGAAAATGGCACGTAAACTATCGGCAAATAGAGGCGCATTTGACACTTCAACCTCAAATCCATGTCGTTTTGGCGCAAACAATAAGCTTCGCAATTTTTCGAATGTCTTCTATGGTGGAGCAATGATTGCACCACAAAAGAGGTTTATAAAGTCATATGTTGTATGATTGGGTGCTTCATCAAAATCACATGCTTTATCAACAAAAAAAGATCGTTCGACCGAAAAATCTACTACAATCTGAGTTTGAGAAAAATGCTGGAAAAATAAAACGGACAATGCACTGTTTGCAATAAAATAATTATCCGCATCCTGCGGTTAGTTCAGTTTTGAAACTATTTTAATGATTTGCGTTTGTATTTTGAGAACTGCAAGTGCGCCTGTGAAACAATCGCCGATCAATTGGAATCGGACTCTTCCTATGTCATACCAGTCATTACTAACAACAACAACACAACATCCACCACAATCCACTTCATCACAAAGCTGTAACAAAAAGGAAATTATACAAAAAGAACACGACCGACTAAAGCAAATCATCAACAACAGAGTAAGTCGGTGGTCTTTCTCAGTCATGTTACGGGCTAAAATTGCTTCTCATATGTGTGAATTTCATGTTGGATAGTTTTAATTTCACTTCGTTCCTGTGCTATTTGAGGTAAACATGAAGAATGAAAACGAGTCAAGCGTATGCAATGTGTTAAGATTCAGTCAAATCGTTTATGATCAGAATTGATGATCTTTCAGACGCATATGGCTGGTGTGCAGAATTTGTTGAAATATTATTCGAAACATGATAAATCGACGACTGGTAACGGTGCAGCAACTTGTTCGTCAGCAGAGAAACCACAGCCAGCCAGTTCGTTGAAGGAGTTCATTGAAAACGAGGTGATTGATATTATGTTTGTAGCAGTTTATAGATATGGCTTCAAGATTTTTGTACTTATCATCATTTCTGTGTATCGTTTTCACTTAATACATTAAGTTGTTTGCTCGTATGTAATTATTTTGTTCACAATTAATCACATCCAAATATATATATATATTCCCCAATGAATCGCTATGTTAGGTGTTATTATTATCCAGTCGCTCACAGTTCAGTCACCGTAAACTATCAGTGACATCAGAAATAATAGAAGCATTCATTGAATAGAAGCTTTCATTATGACCAAAGTGATAATTTAAAATTGTTTTTTCAAACTTTCAACTCGAATTAAGATAAAATAAAATTTATGAAAATATGGTGTTGAAAGAAAATAAATCAGACATTAATTTTGATAGGCCAAACGTGAAGCGCTTAACAAATACAAAACGCCAGTGTTGGGAAGAGGTCAACAGAATGGTATTATTTCACTGTGTAGTCCAAAGAAGAGAGCATCAGCCCGGCAAGATGCTGCCGAACGAGCAAAGGTTTAATATTATGTTTGTGTTGTGGCTTGAATTGTATCTTCATTGAATTGGCATGGATATGTGGTAGTATGATTGTGTGCCAAAGAAAACTAATCACCCTAATCTAAACAAACACTTTTAATTGTCCATCGATTCAAAGAACTTTATATTGTTTGGCTTAAGTTATTCATATGTATACGCTGATCGATTCGAGACTTGATTGTGAGACATATGTCTAGGTTCATAAATATTTACGAACTCTTCAAAGTGGTAATAAATTTAGCAAAGAGCAATCGCGGTCATCCGTTCGAAAGGTGGTGTCGACAAACTTCAGCCGAAATCTAAAGCCGAATCGTCACGGAAACGTTTACGCGGTACATTTTTCAGTCAATACCTACGAATCAAAATGTTTTTGTTACTATTTTAATCATCGTTATAACAACGTTGTTATTACAACTTGATATGTCAATTCGGAAATATTCACAAACTTTTTTATTATTAGCACTTTCATAGTTGTAGTGCCTATTAAACATTGTTTCAGAAAGTAACGATAGTTGTGAAT